TATCGACATGACAACTATAATATTGATTGATACACAACTTTTAGGGTCAGATAATATATAATTATTAAATCACTATATGGTACCTGTCAAATTAAATTCTTAAATTGTTACCATATGCGCTTATATTTCTATAATTTTTATAATTTGTATAACACGGATTAAACTAGTCAAACTTAGATCGGACCAATAAAAGGGTTAATGACACAAATATTGTGTTTTTTTTTAATTTGCCACAAATATTGCGGATTAAAGAGAATTGACACAAATATTGTGTTTTGTAGTAAAGTTTGGGGCGGGAGCACCAGAGACTAAGGCGGGGCCGCGGTTTCTAAATATTTTACCCAGTTCTGGGCGCTGGCGCCCAAGTCTCCAGCGCCCCCGCCTCACCCTCTTTTTTTTAAATCGACGAACCCTAGGCCCCTCTTATCTCTTCTTCTTCTTCCCTCCACCCCCCCCCCCCCCCACAACCAGAGCAGCGCCGCCTTCCTCACACACGCCGCCACCGTAGTCTCAGGCCCAGCCGTCGTGGACTCAAGCGCTGCCGCCCAGGACCAAGGCGCCGACGCCGCAGAGACAGGCGTCGCCGCTGCCGAGTGAAGCGTCGCCGCCGCTGACAGAAGTGCCCCCGCCCGACAGAGATGTCCTCCGACGAAGAACCAGTCGCCGGCAGAGGCATGGGGAGAGGTCGGCGAATTCGTGGTGGAGTTGGCGGCCGTTTACGCGGTGAGACTCTCGCCGGCGGCGGCCGGAATCTCGCCGGCGACTTTGATTTTTTTTTTTTAATGTTTAGTGTTTGTTTAATTAATGTTTTGTTTCTTTGTTTTTGCAGTTCCTAGGCTTATGGATTCTTATTCGATGAGATTACCGCCGACGACAATTGATCCATGTCCGGTCGATCTGGCACTTCTTTGGGGACATGGCCAACATCGTATCGACTCTATTTGGACAAACGAGGTAAGTATTTGATAATTATTCATGTAAAGTTAATTAGCTAATTAGATTATTTTAGTTGGTGAACTGAACTGTACTGAAATTAGAATAGGATTACGTATAATTTTTTTTGAAATTAGTATAATTTGATATTAGATTAGATAGATTAGAATTTATTAGGTGAAATTAGAATTATTACGAATGAAAATGAATTAATATAAGTTTTGTGCACTATAGGCTGGTGATCGATCTTACCATGTTCGAGGTACGACTAGTTTAGTGACGTACCATAAGCTTTATCGGCCATATCTCGAAGCGGCAGGCTTGTTAAGTATCGTGCCCCTAGTCCCTATGAACCCCGATGTGAGTTTGATTACTGCGCTCGTAGAGCGGTGGCAACCCGAGACGTCGACCTTCCATATACCGTTTGGTGAGATCACGATCACGTTAGAGGACGTTGTTACACTGTCCGGTCTGGCGATCGACGGTGATGCCGTCGTAGTTGATATACCGGATGAGGAGTGGTCGGCGATCTGCTTGAGACTGTTAGGACGGGTTCCGGCTGATCTTACAGGCGGTGGCGGTGTCGTTAGGATTGTTTGGCTGAGGGATGAATTCAGTCATCTGCCGGGAAATGCATCACAGGAGGTTATAGAGCAATTTGCACGAGCTGATTCTCTATCTCTGATGGGAGGTGTACTTTTCCCGGATCGGTCTGGAGCTACGGTGCACCTACAGTACCTACTTCTGATTGAGGATTGGCAGAGAGCTGGACGGTTCGCCTGGGGAGCTGCTGTTTTATCCTACCTGTACCGTGAGATGGGTAGGTCGACTTTGCATATTACGCATTCCGGCACTTCTCTAGGACCACCTTGGTGGATGGGTCACCCTACTGCAGTTCTGAGCGTGGGAGCGATTCCCACATCTGGCACCTCGACATTCAGAGACGAGGGCACAGATTTCCGAGGATGCACCCCCATGTGGTCTTCGATGGCTTTCGCCCAACAGTCGTCATTATGGTGACCAACTATTCCTGTACAAGCTGTGGTTTGACGCGATGGACACCGTGGTGGTTAGTATATAACATTCCATTTTATAGAATAGTTTTCATTTGTTTTATTTTATAGATTTAGGGATAATAACGTTAATTTTTTTTATGTAGTGGCAACCTTACCTTGAGAGAGCACTTCATCTTAGAGGTAGTGTGATACAGTCTGAGACATTTCGAGCAGTAGTGCCACTTATCTGCTTATCATCGGTGATGTGGCATCATCCAGACCGCGTGCTCTGGCAGTTTGGCATGAGGCAGCATGAGCCTCATCCGCCACATCCTGAGGCTGAGGTTAGGTTTTTTCTTCGTCAGGCTACTCGTGGGCCATCGCGTGGGCAGCAGTTGGTACACGCCTCCAGAGAGTCGCTTGCTTTCTGGAACCGTCGACACGAGTTTGTAGCGACGACTCCATACACTGATGAGGAGTTAGCCTACCACTCGGAGCATATGGAGTGGTATAGAGATGTCACCAGACGTTCCGGCACACGGAGAGGAGCTGCAGCGGAGGCATTGGTTAGTTATTTGATTTGTTTGCTTAATTTGTTGTTAACTGTGTGAAATATCTGACATTTTTTTGGTGTTTTTTAGTACGACACTTTCGAGCATGCTGAGGTGAGTTTGCGTGACGGTGTACGGGCTAGAGGGCTGACCCCCAACCAGTGTGAGGACTTGGCCAACATTATGGCATCCGGGGTTGCTACTCTAGGTTTTGAGCAGCGTAGATACCCTGATCTCACAGTACCTGTATAGCCCCATTATGATCAGCCCGACATGACTGCCTGGCCAGAGCGTACTGATCCGACACTGTGGAGCATGGTGGTCGTCGTGGTGGTCGTTAGTGAGACTATTATTTTTGGATTGTTATTATTATGTACTTCCTTGAGAATATTATTTTTGGATTGTTATTATTATGTACTTCCTTGAGACTATTATTTTTGGATTGTTATTATTATTATTAACGATTACATACCAAACAACAACAACTTCTACATGGTAAATCAAAAGAAATACAACAACTTCTACCACCTCTCAGCCACGTCTATTACCTCTACTTCCTCTTCTACCACCTCTCGCACTTCGTTGGCCACCACTCCCTCCTCGGTTGCTCCCACTCCCACTAGCTTGGCCACCGCAGGTTGATGCATTATGTACCGCTTGGTTACAGTTGCTACACACTTGGTGTGATGCACCCTCCCTTGGCCAGTCCATCTCGTTGTGAATCCTTGTAACCCGTGGCCTCCCCGGCTTCCTAATCATGTGCACATTAGGATGGAGAATAGGACCATTATGCTTCTTCCAACCCTTAGGTTCACCAAGAGGTGTAAAACTTGTCCCATAACAAGCCATCACTGTTTCCAGCTTGTAGACATCGTTGACAAACCTATACGCATTAGCCCCCATTCGGTTGCAAGCTGCAATGGCATGAGAGCAAGGAATTTTATTTCCTGGAAATTTACCACAGGTGCAAAATCCCGCCCGGTTTTGATCATCAAAGTGCACTTTGAGTGTGTTTGACCCCGTCATGTTGAAATTGTTGGGAGGAGTCTGAACTACATAGATGCCTTGACGTCGATCAAGAGCTGTCACAGAATGTCCAATTGCCTTTTGTGACCACGGCTTCATCAGCTCTTCGCACTTGGTGGAGTACTGTGAACCGCCACTTCTAATTTCTGCTCCTGTCTCCAACCTGTACTTATCGAATTTCTCCACCAATCGCCAATAGGTATATTGCACAAGAGAAGCTATAGGAAGTGCACGAATACCTTTGAAAACACCATTGATGCTTTCTGCCATGTTGGATGTCAGGATAGACCAACGACGCCCACCATTGTAGTTATCATGTGCTAAACTCCAATGAATCTGATGTTGATCCACCCAGTTATCAAATGAAATATTTCTATCAGCGGCCACCTTCTTAAATTGCTCAACTTGACGATCGAACTTCTCCAACCGTTTTTCTCCGGCTAACAAAATAAACCACCACACGGGTTAGATAAATTCATGACAAAATTACATGAAAATAAATAACAAAATTAAATGAAGAAAGCTTACCGACTCGAAATAGTTGCTTATACATAATTCTGCTTTTAGTCTTCCTTTGAAAATTGCTTGCATAATGTCGCACGCACCACCTCCACTCCCAACCTCTTTTGATGTTATTCATGGCTTCATAGAGTCCTGCATGTCTATCTGAGATGATGCATACATAATTTCGATCAGTCAAATCCTGAACGTTCCTCATGAACCATGGCCAACTCTCAGTATTCTCGCTCTCCACTATGGCAAATGCAATTGGAAAAATCTTCTTCCGACCATCAAATGAGCTCGCCATGAATAGCACTCCTTTATACTTCCCAGTAAGAAATGTTCCATCAACAACCATGACGCCTGGACAATTCTTGAATCCATCTATACAAGGTCCATAAGCCCAGAATATTCGCTGAAATATTGAATGACCTGGTTGAGTCGAAGGAACTCTTACCCAATCAATCACCGATGTTGGCATTTTTCTCTTGACCACCCGCAATTGGCTGGGTTTTATAAGGTGGGTGGCCGCCAGCAATAAGCCAGGGGTTCCACCTTAGTCTTGGGCGCCACCGCCTGGGATGATTTCCCACCAACTCACCTAGGTCTCAGGCGGTGCCACCTGAGTCTTGGGCGCCGCCGCTGTCAAATTAATAAAACGATCCAGAAAGTCAGCAAAAGCGGCAGCGGCTGAGTCTCAGGTGGTCTCGCCGATTCTTTTCTCCAAAACATAATATCTGTGTCAATACTTTTTAATCCGCAATATTAATGGTAAATTAAAAAAAAAACAATATTTGTGTCATTCTCCTCCAATAAAACTCAAACCATTTGTTTCACTGGCCCACCGATTGAACTGTTTTCGAGTTGGAGATTGAGATTGGGCCGTTGAGGGCATTGTTGTCAATTAGCTAACATTATCCCTTTCCCGTCCTTTCTTCTCCAGTTCTCCACTTTCACTCCCACCCTTGTGCCCATAACCTGAAATCCCCTCTATCACAACTCAGCTCATCGAAATCGAACCGTAGAAATCGACAATGGCGGCCTCCTCCATCTCTTCCCTCGCCTCGTCCTTCTCCTCTCTCTCATTTTCCTCTCAAGTCTCTCAGAAACCAAACGCCCTTGTTTTCCCCGTCACCAAGTCCCGCTCCCTTTCACCTTCCCCCAAATCCCTCACCACCCTCCGCGTCTCCGCCGCCGTCGCCTCGCCGTCCGAGCCCTTCAAGGACCTGGTGAAGACGAGACTCCCCGGCGGATTCGCCGCCCAACCCATCATCGGCACCGGCCGCCGGAAATGCTCCATCGCTCGTGTTGTCCTCCAGGAAGGCACCGGCCAAGTCATAATCAACTATCGCGATGCCAATGTAAGTCATAATCAATCATTGCCATCTCCTTCCTCCTAATTCGCCAATGTTCCGAATTCCTGTGCCCGATTTCAATCCCTAGGGTTTTACTTTTCCCCCAATTTTGTCGCGGGATTGAGTTTGAACTCCCCTTTCTTCACAATTCGGCGTTTGCAGGATTATCTCCAGGGGAATCCGCTGTGGATTCAGTACGTCAAAGTCCCACTGGTGACATTGGGCTACGAGGGCAGCTACGACGTTTTCGTGAAAGCTCACGGCGGCGGGCTATCCGGCCAGGCGCAGGCGATCTCGCTGGGAATTGCTCGGGCTTTGCTGAAGGTCAGTGCCAGCCACAGATCGCCTCTGAAATCGGAAGGGCTTCTGACGAGGGACTCAAGAATCGTGGAGAGGAAGAAGCCTGGTCTCAAGAAAGCTCGCAAGGCTCCTCAGTTCTCCAAGCGTTGAGCTTTTGCTTGGGGCAAGTTACAAAGTTGGTTTCTTTCTCACTTATACTCCTCCCATCCACTCTCTGCTTCTCGGCATTGCTTTCTCAGAGTGTTGTAGAATGTGTTGAACAGTTTGCCTCTGTAGATTCTAGCAGTTCTATTGCTTGTCTTTAACCTGAAGGTCTCAACCGATCTCTTGCCATTCAATATGACCCTTCAGAAACAAACCACAATGATAGTGATGACCATACCTACAATGATTAGCCTCTCGTCTTGATCCAACTCTTAAGTTCTTAGTAGGATGCTTGGAAGAGATGTGATGTTATGGATGGATGCAGCATATGACGATGACTTCTTGTAATCATTTACATGTGTTCTTCCTTCACTAGCCAACTAGGATGATGGCCTGCAGCGTATTGATGGAGCTACGCATAGGGAGTTAAGGGTAGTTTAGTATTTTATCCGGATTAGTTTAGTAGGGTTTAACCAATAGCCTATAATTTTTTTTTTCGAAAATATACTTGCATTAACAAGACAAAAGAGTTACATCAAACCAATTTCCGAGCACAACCACGCTCGAAAATCAAAACCAACTATCCCAGTAGGAAACAAATCGAGGGCTTTTTTAGCCACCAAATGGACCACCTTATTGTTCTGTCTACCTACAAAAACCACTCTAAACCCAATATTAGCCCCCAGCAACCGATAGATTTCCTGCAAGATAGCCCTGGCCTTCGCATCCCTGATGGTTCCTGTGTTAACTTTGTCGATCACCACCTTTGCATCACCGACAAACTGAACCGTCGAAAGACCAGCCTCCGCACACCAACATATTGCCTCGCGAAGAGCTATCGCCTCCACCAACATAGGATCAACCATACCTGAGAGGCACGACCCCCGGGCCATTAGAATCCCACCAGCCTCATCCTGCAGAACAAACCCAGCTGATCCATGCGAGCCATTAGAGATCGCCCCATCAAAGGCGCACCTGTAAACACCTGGCACGATTCCCGGGTCAATCCCCTGCACTGCTTGACCAGCTACTCTCCACACTATCCATCCATTCCTGAACCTGAAACCTGAATTGCCTCTCCAAAACAACAAATGCGTCTTGCTGTCCCTCAAAAGCCACCAAATTCCTAGACTTCCAAATCCGCCAGAGAAGACAAACAAGACGAACCATTCGTGCTGGAGAAGAATCCCTCTCTATAAAACCTCGAAAGAAGATATGGAACGCCTGATCCTGACCAATTCTCCAATCATTCCTCAATCCTTACATTTCCCACATAGCCACCGCCACCGGGCACGAGAAAAATAAATGTTCTATGTTTTCTTCAGGAGCCCAGCACATAGGACATCGTGGTAGCACCACGACCTTCTTCCGGATCAAAGCCTCCATAGTAGGGAGAGTGCGTTGCAAAAGCTGCCAGATAAAAAGTCTGAGCTTGGGCTGTACCTCAAGGCCCCAAACTTTCATCCATAACGCCCTATCCACCGGATCACACCCTGGCTTCTATCTCATACTAGCGCGATTCAGGCTCTCAGCTAGCCTATACCCTGACTTCACAGTATATACCCCAGACGGGTCGAGCCTCCATACCCATGTATCCTCACTGGGGGTGCGTGGAATCAGGACTTGGAGAATAGCACGCACCGTATCCAGACTAAATGTTTGTTCAAGACATTCTTGGCACCACGATCGTGTTTCCTGATCAATTAGCGAAATTACACGCTCCCCACCAACTAAGGGACTCCCAACTCGCGACTCCGGAAGCCCCGGAAAAATTTGAGGAATCCATCCACTTGACATGATGGGAATTGATTCCCCAGACCCAACCTGGTACCCCAACCCTTTCAACAATAAACGGGCACCATGGAGAATGCTGTGCCAAGTCCACGAAGGTCGAGAGCCTAGTTTAGTCAACAAGATAGATCCCTGAGGGAAATACTTCCCACGGAAAACCTGGGCCATCAAAGAATCTGGTTCATCAAGGATTCGCCAAGCCACTTTGGCTAATAAAGCCTGATTAAATTCCTCAAATCGCCGGAACCCCATTCCACCCTCGTGCTTACTACGACAAAGGCGACGCCAAGAAATAGCCTATAAAATATAATTTCGCGTTTAGTTATCAATCAAATAATTAAAGAATAATTCAATGTATCTTCCAAATTCTAAATTTCTCTCGTCTCCCTAAATCGGTCACGGGTTAGTTCTTTCGCTTCTTCCCCAAATCTTCGTCCAAAACTCTCCCTATGTATGTTAGTAATCACATCATATCATGTTAATCCGAGGTACCAAGATCTGTTCATTAATCACCTATCCACGAGCAAGATTCAATTGTGATAATAGGAGGGAAAGTAGGGGGTTGATGTGGTTTGTAGAAGGAGAAGGACGGAATCGAAATTGAACGGAAGAAATCGAGAGATCATCAGATAGAATAAGAATCAGACGGTATGAATCCGTTCAAATGGTGCAGTAGCAACAAAACATACAGACCATCAAACTCGTCCGCAAGAAGAACGTTTCTTGATTGTTCTTATTATAGAGGTTTGAATTAAGATGCTGAAATCCAACAACAAAAGTACATCATAGGCTCGCACAAGCTTGATGTACGCGAGTCTCCTTCTCCCTCTAGAACAACTGACTGAAGATAAGAGTGTGAATTGACTTTGAGCAATAAAATAGAGCTAGCAAAACGGAATTTGGTTAGCAATGGTAAAGCAGAAAAGAGCCATAGACGTATACGCCACTTGGTGTAATTGGGCACTGCTTTTCTTTAACCAAAGTTGTAAGCCTTCCGTTCAAAGCAGCAACTTCCATTCCACCAGTTCATTCCTCCTCCTCGGCTCACGGCCGAGAAAAACACAGGAAAAGAGTATTCAGAAAAGAAAATTCTAAGATATTAACCTTGGTGTCCAAGCAAGAGGAGGGTCAACGCATTGATAATTGTTCTATTATTTGCAAGATGAGAGGAGAGTACGATTGTGAATATTTGTGTGAATGATTCTGCACGCGTTTTGCATTTTTTTTTCTACAAACGAAATTTCACAACATATAAATTTGATCAATAAACCTTAAATAGAAAGCTTACAAACCTCCATATATGTTTTAAAGTACTTTTGTTAGTAAAATTGTAGGTATAGTGGTCAGGGGCGGATACATGCTGCTTGAGGGGGTGTTCCGGGACACCCCTAAATTTGGTAAAATGATTATTCCAACTCCTGATAGTAGTTTCGTATGAATAAAAATAATATAATTGATAATTTGGGACACTGCTAAAATTTGAAAAATGATTATCCTACTCTCAATAGTAGTTTACGTATGATTTAAATAAATATAAGTGATAATCAGTGTTATTCATACCAGGGACATACTATCATTAAACATATTCTCTATTAGCTTGCAACTCATTTGTTGTTAAATTTGAACACTGTGTAATAGTAAAAATATTATTCCTTATACCCAAATATTTTCAAAATCTAACAATTAAACTAATCACTAGCTACTCTTAATTTGAATTGATTTTATGGTTGCACTGCACGTGTTGAAAGACTCTTTTCAACTTTGAGTTACATCAAGAATAATGTTAGTAATCGAATATGCGATCCGTTCGTGAATTATTGTCTGGTAGGATATACATATTTGCTGAGTCGTATGGCACCGATTGATTTTATATTCTTTTTCAGAATATGAAAAACACGTCATGGCATTTTACTAAAATTTGTACTAGTCAAATATTTTATTATGAATTATTTAATTTAATCATTTAGTTTTTAATTTAATTTAATTTATTTTTTTGACAATGACACCCCTATAAAAAATTCATGGATCCGCCACTGATAGTAGTCAAGCAATTTACTCACTTACTTGTTAATAGAGTAATATCTCATACGAACACACACTTTTACTTACAAATATTTGTATTCACCATTTTTAGTAATATTTTCGAGTTCGCCCGGAGAGTGAATTCGAAGTACAGATTCATAGAGTTTACATGTTTAATCAAATATTGTGTTAAGAGATTTCATATCTCTAAAATCTAGAGATACCAAATAAGTATAGAGATTTTGTATATGAATTCGTCATATTATTTTTCATTAAACGTAAACCATTACAGTTACCAAATAATGAACTTTATAAAATATTTAACAATTTAAAGAGTTATAATTTTCTATATTGTTAATGAAGAGGTTTGGAATTCATTCTCCAAACGATGAAAAAAAAAATATTAGTAAAGGAAATGGTTCAAAATGATGGTTGATTATGAAGGAAGTATTTGCAAATAGGATTGTGATGAAATCTGATGTGATTCGATTGATGATTTTCTACAGCTAATTATACAGGTACAAGGAGGCTTTGTAGCCAACAATACAGGCCACGTTCCATGGAAGTAGCAACTGAATGTAGTGGGCAAATAAATAAATAAATATCTTTTTATGTTGTATCTCTAATACGCCCCCGCAAGACGGTGTTTGTATCGACAACACCGAGCTTGGATCGAAGAAGCAGAAACCGCATTGGTGGAAGTGGCTTGGTGAGGGTGTCGGCAAGCTGGTGGGCAGTCGGTATGTATGAGACGTGGAGACGACCAGCCTGAACTAACTGGCGGACAAAGTGATAGTCCAACGCAAGATGCTTCATGCGGGAGTGGAACACCGGATTGGAGCTGAAATAGGTGGCTCCCAAGTTGTCTGAGTAGAGCGTTGGAGAGGAGGGTAAGGGATGATGCAGCTCAACAAGCAGATTTTGAATCCATTCCAACTCCGTCGTAGCATGGGCAATTGCACGATATTCAGCCTCTGTGCTGGAGCGAGCGACTGTACGTTGCTTTTGTGACCACCAGGAAACGAGAGTAGTGCCGAGATATACAAGATAGCTAGACGTAGAGGAGCGATCATCTAAATCCCCGGCCCAATCAGAGTCGGCAAAGGCGGAGAGAGAGAGAGAGAGCACCCGGAGTGCGATGGATGGAGAGACCATGAGAAAGTGTGCCAGAGATATAACGAAGTAGACGCTTGAGACACTGCCAATGATGAGCAGACGGAGCATGCATAAACTGTGAGAGTTTGTTGACGGAGTAAGCGATGTCGGGACGAGTGTAGACCAGGTATTGAAGAGCCCCAATGACTTGGCGAAAACGTGTTGCATCCGTAGCCGGAGAGTCATCATGAAGGGTGAGGGACGCCGAAGCAGCTAGGGGCGTATCGGCGGACTTGAGATCAGTCAGCTGGAACCGATGAAGAATATCAACCATGTATTGATGTTGAGAGAGAAGATAACCAGTAGGAGTGGGTATGACTTCAATACCAAGAAAGTAATGAACGTCACCAAGAGCCTTGAGTGAAAACCGGGAGGAGAGAGCCTGTTGGAACACCTCAAGTGTATGAGAATCATTCCCGGTGAGAAGCAGATCATCAACATAAACCAAGAAGTATAGTAGATGAGGCCCATGAGAGTAAACAAACAGGGAGGCGTCGGAGTGGGTCTTCGTGAAACCAAACTCGAGGAGGAAGGTTGTTAAAGCAGTGTACCAAGCCCGAGGAGCCTGACGAAGACCATAGATAGCCCGACGAAGACGACACACATGATGAGGGTGATCTGGATCAATAAAGCCGGGAGGCTGTGACATATAAACCTCTTCCTGTAATGGAGCTTGCAAAAAAGCATTATTGACATCAAACTGCAAAATAGGCCAATTATGGGAGAGAGCGAGGGTAAAAACTGTGCGGACGGTGACAGGTTTAACCACCGGACTAAAGGTGTCACCAAAGTCAATCCCAGGGCGCTGATGATAACCCTTGGCCACTAGTTGAGTCTTGAACCGTTCAATAGTACCGTCAGAGTGGTGCTTGACACGAAAAACCCACCGATTACCAAGAACATTATAGTGCGGAAGGCGTGGCACCAAATCCCACGTACAATTGGCAAGAAGGGCACCATTTTCAGCAGTGAGGGCCGCGCGCCATTCCTTGTAGCCAAGAGCCTCACGGACTGAACGAGGATGGAGAGGAGGGGCCGGGCCTGGAAGCATGGCAGCAAAGAGCCGCTTTTTGGGCTTGAAGATGCCCGCCTGGGCCCGAGTCTTCATTGTGTGTGAGCGAACTGGAGGTGGCGGTGGGCCGGGCAGGGAGGGCGGCCCAGCTGGCGGGGTGTGAGGAGCAGCCGCGGGGCCAGATGGGCCAGGGTGGGGCGGCCCAGATGCGTCCGGATCTGGCTGTGGAGGAGCAGCTGCCGAGGAGGAAGGAGGCCCATGAGCAAGGGCAGGTGATGTCTTATGGCCCGGAAGCAGAGTGATGGATGGTGTGGAGTCCAACAGCCAGGCAGCAGGAGTGGAAAGCTCAGCAGGGGTCGATGAGCAATACCCTGGAAATTTATCTTCAACAAAGATGACATGACGAGAGTAGAAAAAACGGTGAGAGGTAGAGTCAAAACAACGATAGGCACTACGTTGAGGACAATAGCCAAGAAATAGACAAGGACGAGAGCGCGGAGCGAGTTTATGGGGAGCATAAGGGCGAAGCCAAGGGTAACAGAGACAACCAAAAACACGGAGTTTATGATAGTTGGGTTGTAAATTGAACAGGAGGGTGTAAGGAATTTTACCACGCAGAGCGGAGGAGGGAAGGCGATTAATAAGGTAAACGGCGGTGGAGAAGGCAAAGGACCAAAAAGAAGTGGGAAGATTAGCATGATGAAGAAGGGTTATACCAGTCTCGACCAAATGACGATGTTTTCGTTCAGCAATCCCATTATGTTCTGGTGTATGCGGAGGGGTGAGAAGATGAGTTATGCCATGATTAAGAAGATCAGTACGAAGTTTTTGAAATTCACCACCACCGTCAGTGTAGAGACGACGAATGGTAGTGGAAAAATAATTCTCAACCATTTTCCTGAAATCAAGAAAAACTTGGAGCACATCGGATTTACGACAGAGAGGGTAATACCAAGTATATCGAGTAAAGTGATCAATGATAATCAAATAGTAATGATACCCATCAACAGAAGAAACAGGGGCAGGGCCCCAAACATCCGTATACAAAAGATCAAAAGGACGATCACTTGACAAAGTGGAAATGGAAAAAGGTAGTTTGTGACTTTTATTCGAAAGACATGCATCACAGGAAGAACTAGTGACCGGTGAGGAAACCGGAAGAGAAAAAGACCGAATGAGACTGGTAAGAGTTTGAAGAGAGGGATGACCAAGACGAGCGTGCCACGATGTCGCAGAAGTCCGAGTGGTAACCATGGCCATGCAGACAGGCTCCACTTCGCGAGGCAATTCATAGACATCACCATTGTTTTCCCCCCTCAGCAATTGCGCCCCCGTGCGAAGATCCTTCACAAGAAAATGAGTGGCAAAAAATTCCACCGACACCGGGTTAGTTTGGCATAATTTAGCGACGGAGATAAGATGTCGCTTGATATTAGGCACACATAAAATATCATTTAAGTGAAAGAAACCAGTGCCAAGATTAACGGTAGAGGAGCCAATATGAGATATCGCCAAACCTGAACCATCGCCAACAACAACTTCATCGGGACCCATATAATCGGAGTATAGAGAAAGTTGACCCAAATCCGAGGTCACATGATGAGACGCAGCAGAGTCCATAAGCCAAGGCCCGGTGGATGATGACCGAGGTGAATGAGCAGTAGTATGATGGGCCTGGGCTGGACGGGCCTGAGAGAAAGCCTGCCGGGCCTGAGGGAAGAGCTTGAAACATTGCCGGACCGAATGGCCGGGCTTTTCACAATACTGACATATAACAGGCTGCCTCCTTGGCCGAGTGGGCTCAGAAGGCAAATTTGGGCCGGGCAGCAGAGGAGAATGACGGCCCATGGCCTCAAACCCTAGCTGCTGGCGAGTGGGGGGTGTTGGGCTCCCTGCAAGCGAGTGGAAATTGACCCGCCGCTGAAAGAAGAAGGCGACCCGCCGCTGAAGGAGCCACCTGCTCCTGCTCCACCGCCGCGACGAGAGGAGGGCCCGTGAGTGACAAAGGCTGTTGGAGCAGAGCTCAGCCGAGCTTGGTCCTTCAGATCCCCTTCAAACTCAATGAGAGAATCCAGGAGCTCTTCAATTGTGATAGTCCCACCGCGGGCGCGAACGGCAGCAGCGAAGTGGTTGTAGTCGGGGCCGAGTCCTCGAAGGCAATGAACCACCAAATCCAAATCGGAAACAGGGTCATCGACGAGAGCGAGTTCGGCGGCAATAAGCTTCAAATCATTCACATACGTAAGGATGTCACGGTTGCCCTTGACTGTACAAGCGAGTTTGCCCTTTAAATTGATGATTCGGGACTGAGACCGGCCTGCATAAAGCTTCTCAAGAATCTGCCAGGCCTCGCGAGATGTTGCTGCGGCAGAGACATAGGAATACAGCGACTCGGATATGGAGCAACGAAGCGCATGGAGGATTAACTTGTCTTGACGATACCAATGATGATAGGCAGGATTGGGTCCGGATTTGTCATCTGCAGTGACCATTTTTGCAGGGGCGACGCCGGTGCCGTCGATGTAGCTTATGTGGTCAAGACCCATCAGAAGAGTCTCGAGCTGAGAGCGCCATGAATTGAAGTTTGTAGCTGTCAATTTGAGAGGAAGTTGAGCGGCTGGATTGAATGTAATGATGGTATCTTCTGGGGTTACAGAGGGAAGAGCTGGGGTGGATCCTGACATGATGCACACCACAGAGCAGCCAAAAGGAGGGAAGAAAAAAAAACAGGGGAGTGGAGTACCAGAGAGGCAAAAGAGGATGAACGAGATGGGTACAGGCTAGGAGACCGTTTCCTGCTCTGATACCATGAAGGAAGTATTTGCAAATAGGATTGTGATGAAATCTGATGTGATTCGATTGATGATTTTCTACAGCTAATTATACAGGTACAAGGAGGCTTTGTAGCCAACAATACAGGCCACGTTCCATGGAAGTAGCAACTGAATGTAGTGGGCAAATAAATAAATAAATATCTTTTTATGTTGTATCTCTAATAGATTAATCTCACAACATAGGAAAAAGAAATTCAGAGGCTGGATTTTCCGGAGCAAGTTGTTACTGCCTTTTTTATTAAACAACTTATTGGATGCTTAAAGTCGCGAGCAGGCCCACCAAACTAAACAGCCGGACTCTCTCCTTGCCGTTCTAAACTTCCACGAACGGATTCCCGCGCGACTCGGTTACACGTCTCAACTCACTCGCTACCCTAACCCATCAAAACTCGGAGACCCGCGTTCAAGCTCCACAGCTTACCCACTGACGGATCGACGGGAATTCAAACCGTCGCAGGTACTTCTCATCATCGCCGCCAGGTAAGCGGAGTAATTGTCGCCGGAATTCCAGAGAATTTCGGCGGTGGGGGGGCGCTCCAATGGGAGAAGATTATGGGAGCGGCGACGATGACTGCTCTTACGGATACGACGAGGAAGATTTTCTCGTCGATGATGATGGCGACGAAGGGTGCTCGTCGGATCGGTCTCCGTCGGAGAGTGCAGAGCGAAGCGCCGATAATTCTCCTTCCTATAAGGTATGTTGTTCTTACTGAACGATCAATTTTAGATATAAAAAAAAAGTCTTTGGCCTTAAAATTGGGGATTGGCTTGTTGTTCTTTTTGTTGCAGGTGATCACGAGAGAGTCGCTCCTAACCGCGCAGGTTAGATTTTTTCTGGGGAAATTGATTTAGAAAGTACTCTGCTTTTAGGGTTTTGGTTAAAACCCTTTTGTTGTTGTTGAATTGCAGAGGAAGGATTTACAAAGGGTGATGGAGTTCTTCTCTGTGAAGGAGAAACACGCACGGACTTTACTGATTCACTTCAGATGGGATGCTGATGTGTTGCTTGAGTACCTCGTGGAGCACGGCAAAGAAAGGCTATACACCAAAGCAGGTTTGGGAAACTTGGAGGGCAGTGCTGCGGGGTGCCCTTCCATAATAGATTGCTCTATTTGCTACGAAGAGGTTTCGGTCGATGAAGTGACGACTATGGATTGTGGCCACTTCTTCTGCAACGCATGTAAGCTCACCGGGCCTTAATCCAGTTGGTTTTTAGGTTGTGGGTTTGAGTTTGGATGAATGGCTTTTGTTCCATTAGTTAGTTGAATGTTTATGGATGATGGTTTACGTTTAGGTTGGACTCAACATTTTGTTGTGAAGATCCAAGAAGGGCAAGGTAGAAGGATAAAGTGCATGGCACCAAGATGTGAATGCATATGCGATGAAGTTCACATTAGGGACTTGGTGAGATCGGCGGATCATAGTTTGGCTGATAGGTTTGAGCAGTTTCTGTTGGACTCGTACATAGAAGACAACAAAAGAGTGAAATGGTGCCCGAGTGTTCCTCATTGCGGGAATGCGGTTCAAGTCGAGGCTGATGACCTGGTTTGTGAGGTTGAATGTGAGTGTGGCATGCAGTTCTGTTTCAGCTGTGCTGCTGATGCACATTCCCCTTGCTCTTGTCGAATGTGGGAGCTCTGGACGAAGAAGAACCAGGATGCTACCGACAGCTGGATCACCGTCAACACGAAACCTTGCCCCAAATGCCACAAACTAGTGCAGAAGGACGGTGGATGCAATCTAGTGATCTGTACTTGTCATCAGGCATTCTGGTAACCTTTTCTTTGAGGCTTATTTTTTAGTAGGAGTTAGAGTTAAGGGGTAGCCTGGATGCAGGATTTGGAAAGTGATGCATGGTACAAGATCCATGGATTTTGGAAGGATTTGAAACTTATAGATTTCAAAGTTCTGTTGATGGATGTCTGATTTTAGGAGTGGTTTGTTACCGAGTAGAATATGATTTATGACTTTCTAAACGTATAGAAATGCTAAACATGGTCATCCATATCCACTGGTATTACCTTCTCGACTATTGAGATGAACAATGTTCTTCCTTATACAGTAGTATGCTTCTGTCTCTCAAAATACTTTAGTGATAGAGCTGCTGCTGATAAGGCACGTTTTCTTGTTTTGGTTTTTCCTCTTGGTGCAGTTGGCTCTGTGGTGCTGCTACTGGAAGAGATCACACCTGGGACAGCATCGCAAACCACAGCTGCGGGCGATACAAGGAAGACTACGAGAAGAAATCCGAGACCGCCAAGAAGGAGCTTGACCGCTATATGCACTACTACGACAGGTACAAAGCCCACCTTGACTCGCTGAAGCTTGAGTTGAAGCAGGAGCAGACCGTGATGAGCAAAGTGTCAACCTTGGAGGACAAAGAGTCGACTCTCGACATCTCTTGGATACAGAAGGCCTTCTTCAGGCTGGTCCAGTCGAGGAGGATCCTCGCCCACTCATACCCTTTCCCCTACTACATGTTCGGCAGTCTGTTTAAGGATGAGATGAACGATGAGGAGATGGACCTGAAGAAGACACTGTTCGAGGATCGGCAGCAGCTGCTGGAGGCAAATGTCGAGATGCTGTCGAAGTTGCTGGAGGAGAAGTTTGATGAGTTTAGAGTTGCCGGGGTTCTGGACTTGAGAGAGAAGGTTCAAGCGGTTGTGGTTTCTACTGATAATCTCTGCAGAAATCTGTCAGTTCCCATTCTCACTATCTCTCCCCAATCTACTAATGCCTCATTTGGCCGCAAGAGATTCGTGTTATATTGTGATAAATTTTCTTGCAGGTATGAGTTCATCGAGAATGATTTGTTGGGGCCACTAACGAAGACATTTGAGAGGATAGCTCCATATCGCGGTAGCAGTCTCTTTAACCATTTTAAAGGCGAATCGGTCGAAGTATAGAGATTTAGCTAGACTTGTTTGCATAAAGTTGGACTCAGAAGTAAAAATAAAAAAGTAAAGACCTTTTCTTCTTCCCTTCCATCTGAAGGAACAAATTGTTACTGTTGGTATAGCTCTCTAGTAGGATTTTTACTACTAAATAAATAACCAATTTTTCTTGATGCTATGCCAATTTCTCATAATGCTTGGTAGCTTGTCGTTGGTTTTATAATTTCTTAGGGGTCGATTGGATGGATCTTTCTTATGGAGCAATTTGACACAAATGTCTCAAAATGAGACAATTGGAACACATTGTCTCATTTGGCTACCAAAAAAAAGAATGAATCAATTGTACATGGAGAATTGTAGATTGCTCCATTATGAGACAATTGAAAATACCTGGGTATGGGGGAGGTTTTCTCAATTGCTTCGTTTTATGTTTACTTTTTCCAAAGCTACCCCTTCTTTTTTCCTTTTTCATTTTCTTTTCCCTCTCTCATTGTAGAAAGTAGAAACCACCGAGACATCACTTCTCTTCTTTTCTTCCTCTTCCTCTCTCTCTCTCTCTCTCTCTCTCTCTCTCTCTCTCTCTCATGCCTCCCTCTTCCTCCCCCAACTGGTTTTGGGTATAAAATCGTTCCAGAAGGCTGGAGCCTAGAGACCACAAGAGCAGTAACAGGAGTCAAAGTGCAAAATCTATTGCCGCAGGACGTGGAAGAAAGGTCCGGAGAAGGTTCGATCGCCGGCGACCAGATTAGAGAGAGATATATATATGTTGGTGGCAGTTCACAGTAGTCGCTCGACACAAGCGTCTTTGTAGATCTGGATCAGCGGAGAGAAATCCTGGGCCATTTTTGGTAGAAATTTTTAGACAGAAACCCCAATTTTTTATCTCGATTTTGTTTCGTTTTTTAATAATGGCTCCTTCAAATTAGTCAAGCTTTGATCCAGGGGATTCGATTGCTTGGTTGGGGAGCATTATACCTGGGCTTTGGGGTTTATTTCCGATGCTCTGTTTCTCAAATTATTTTACCTTGGCTTGTTCTAAAAGAGGAAGATGGAGAATGAGGGTATTAAAAAAGGACAAAAGTGTATTTTCAGTAATAGTCACATCCTAATTGCCTCATCTCAAATAACAAGCCAAACAAGGCAATTTGGGACAAATATACTATACAATTGTCTCATTTTGTAAAATGAGACATTTATACTAAATTGCCTCATTTTGTAAATGATCCATCCAAACGACCCCTTAGAGTTTACAAAGAGAATTGTTATTTGATGTCCGTCGGATTACTATTTGCCACTCATAGATAAATAAATAAATAAATCATTCTACACTTCTCAATTCACTGTTCGAGTTTTAAGTCTCTCCAAAGTCCAAACTAATCAAAACGTATTCTTCTATTTATGTTTTGGCTAAATGTGTGTATTCTTCTATTTATGTTTTGGCTAAATGTGTGTTCAAGGAAGTGGGACGAATAAGTCATGGATAGCCAAGGAACAACTTGCACTGTCCAATAGTCATAATGACCGACTCAAATCGAGTTTAAAATTTGTAGATGGATTAAATGTAGTAATCGAAACAAGTTGTTGCAGAGTTCTCTTTCTAAAATTCTTCGTAGCAATCAATCAACAATCACAATACGCATTTTTTATAGATAAAAATAGTATATCGTTGATAATAGATGAATTAATACAACTATTATTTAACCGAGTATGTACTATATCAAAAGATATCTTCTATTTAGAATAATTTCATCTATTTAGAGAAACAATCACATTATGCATTTTCTATAGAGAAATAAGTATATCGTTAATAGTAGATAAATCAATACATCTATTATATAATCGAGTTACAATATAAACTTTTTTTTATCTTCCATTCAGAACAATTTCACCCATTCTCTTAAAAAACATATTTCAAAAGTTTATCCATTCCTCATTCTGTCAAGTCGTCAACCTCGTTAACTTAACTTGACCTCACTTAAATTTCATAGTTTTTTCCTTTTCCAACAGATTGAGTGAATCCATTTCTGAGTCATTTGGAAGCTTTGATGAGGAAGTGATATATTACAAGAATGTGTGTTTTATGACTTGCTTGTTTGGGAAACATAGAATAATGTATGGATTCTACATTAACGAGGTCGTTTGCTTCGTGAATTTGAAAAATGCAAGTTTTGGTAAATATGGGTTTTGGAAAACCAGGGATATACGAGAGTTCCGGGTTCATTATGGACTTGAAAAACACTATTGTTTGTTTCATAGATTTCATGATGGATTTTTTTAATTAAATTTGTGTAAATGAATTGAAACTGACTTTTATTGTCCTCATTGATATGAGAAGAGAAAGGAATAGGAGGCGTAGGTTGGTCACAAATGATGAATTTCAAAGTACATGATCAATTTTCACTTACGGAGTGAGATTTTCAAGTCCCTGGGTTCCGCTGATTTGTTGTCCCTAAATTAACGAAGCAAACAATGAATTTTGGACAAAATACATTAATCAAACAACTTCTAATTGAACTATGGATACTAAATTTCACCAAAAATTGAGATTAAATATACATCCTTTTTCTAAGTATTAGGAATACATTATGTATTCTCAATAAATGCATTATATACTCAAATCAAGTAAAAAACGTATACATGTATACTCAAGTCTAAATACATTGATTCTTAAGTTCCAAACGAGACCTTAGTGATAAGAATTTAAAAAAATTGTTAATACCATGGTTGTCTTGTCGGTGGCATGCCGGCCGGTTGAACTTGGTTTAATGGATGCCGACCATGAAACCGACATGAACATCACAGGTATTACCAGTATGATCGACTTACAAATTCTAAGTAAAATGATAGTTGTTTTAGTGAACTTAATAAACAATAGATTTATTATTTATTTTATATATTTAAAAATCAAAAGTTGATTTTCTTTGTTGGATTGAAGTAAATTGTACTCAAATATATGTATTATATATAATTAAGTCTTGAATTATATATGATTAAATTCATTAAATGTTAATAACTTTTACATTTTTACTTATTTTGTTAAATCGATTTGAACCGGCACAAACGGCTTGTACCACTGGACGTAACGTATTGTTCAACTTGTCAAACTTAAGGATGGCAATTTCGAACTGACCGGTTTTACCCGACCTGTTTGACCTGTTTTGAGGCGGGGCGGGCATGGGTACTCTCATAGACCCGACTTGTCCTGACCCGCCTCATTCTCGACCCGTTCTTGCCTAAATTACACGTAATTTTAGTTAAATTATTTAGGATTTTCCTTTTACTAAATCAAATTTTAGCTATAATAAAGTTGTAAATTAGTGAAAATCTCAATTTCTCCAATAATTTAACTATATTTATCATAATATTGTTTGTTTCCATGGTCTTATAATAAAAATAACGAACATTTCTAATATTTTTCATATAAATTGCTTACCCATTGGGTCGACCTACCCCGACCTTTGACCGTGATAAATTATTCGACCTGAACTCGACCTGCCACGGGACGGGTTTGAGTACCAAGAAACCCACCCCGGATCTGCCAATTGCCATTCCTAGGACTCAAACTCCCACACGACAACCTTGGTTAATACTTGATATAAAACCATTTGTACTACGGGCCACATAAGAGTTTGGCAGCTAGGGGTGTTCAAATGGTTACAATGGTTATAACTAAACAAAATAAGGCTAAATTCCATTAACCATGAAATAAATATCATAACCAAACCCTCTAAACTAATACAACAACCAAATTAACCAAGTAGGATCAGGAACTAAGATAAACACCTTAATCGACCCTTGGCTACCAACAGACCCTCCTTCTAGCCCTGTGTTGTTAATTGGCGCCTCTCTAGATCACCCAATGGTTTCATTTCTTCTGGATTCTAATGCTATGGAGTGGAATCTAGACTTGCTTAAAACCATATTTCCCCCTGTCACGATCGACAAAATCTTATCCATCCCTCTCCCATCATCCCCCTAAGAAGATAAATTGATTTGGCATTATGACAAGTCTGGTCATTACACAGTTAAATCAGGGTACCACCTTCTTTCGAATGGTTTAAATTTACCCAGAAACTCCCTGCCATATTTTTTGAACACCAAGTTCTGGAAATTCTTGTGGAATATTCCAATGCCTCCTAAGCTCAAATTCTTTCTTTGGAGATTGGTGCGTGGGTTTCTACCAGTTAAAGGAACCCTCCTTTATAAGAAAATTATTTCATCAGGTCTATGTCCTGTTTGCTGCGAGGTAAATGAAGACTTCAAACATTGCTTCTTCGACTGTAGAATCACTAGAGAACTGTGGACATTATCTGACCTTGACCATATAAGAGATATGATGAGGGCAAGTCCTATGGATCTTGCGTGGAGAAACCTCTTTCTCACGCCCCATATCTCCAAGAATGATGTAGCTTTCATTGTCTTCTTATTTTGGAGAATATGGAAAGGCCGATGCAAGGCTACTTATGGATACGTTTTATACAGGTCACATATCCTATACAGGCAACTATTAGCGCAGGTGGAGGAATGGAGAATGGCAGAAGCACAGAAGGTTCAGAGATCCGAAGAAGTCCGAAGGTCAATACCCCACTCTTCCTCAGGCCAAGTTCCTCATTCAAGGAGAACAGATGTTTCCTTCCCTAGTGAAGGTATCCTAGTTCGTTTTGACGGGGCAACAAAAATCCCTCAAGGATGTGCAACTGGCTTCGTCGGCTTTTCAGGTGATGGAAATATCACATTTGCAGTTGGTAAATTCTATCAGGGCATCTCAGATGCCTATATATCAGAATTACTTGCTATTCGTGATGCTATGAAATGGTGTCTCACCCACAATTTTTTTACTGTTGTTTTCTGTGGGGACTCTCAATTGGTCATCAAGGATGTGACATTAAAGAAGACTTCACATTCAAGAGCGGGAGCTTTATTAGAGGAAGTTCACTCTCTTCTTTCCTCCTTCATATCTGTCTCGTGTCTTTTTGCTCCTCGGAGCTTCAACAGAGCTGCCCACCTCGTGGCAAAACAGGCTCTTTTATCGGGAGTCCGGTTGCTTATGGACTACCGTTCTCTTTTAGTGTCTTTATTGTAATTGTGTTGACCGGCCATGCCCTATGGGCTTATCTTGGATAAAAAAAAATAACCAAAATAAAGTTTAATCGGTTTGGTTAATTGGTTAACCAGATTAACCAATATAAAATCACATTATCATTGACGATGAAAATTTTTCGGTTAATGCAACAATTCGCAATTTATATAATGATAAAACATAACAATCAACACGTAGTTATAGTTGACCCTTAACAAAAATACATGCAACTAAGACAATTATCTTACGATTAGTATAGAAGTATTCACCTAACAAAAAATTATGACAATGGTATGAGTTAATGAATTGTTGTGTTTGTATAAATTGACTTAGTCTCTTAGCAATTATCATAGGCTGGAAATAACCTTCCTTTCAAGTTTTCATTCATCATAATGTATGAAATTTATCTAAATTAGGCGTCCATATGTTGTGGTCTAGACTTTACATATACAAATATACACTATATGAGCAATATTGAGCTTTATATTTTATGAGTCTAAAAGGGATGAACATTAACTCTTGAGTGGTTATGCAAAGTATTATGTGTATATAATATATGTTAGATATATGACTAATTACTTAATTGGTTAATTTGGTTTGACTGGTTAGGAGTGTCTAAAACCAAACCAAACCAAACCACCTAAACCAAACAAGCTAAAAACTTTAACCAAACCAAACAATTATCCAAATTAACCAAACCAAATTATCCAAATAGTACCGGTTAAAACGGTTACCACGGTAACCAAACCGTTTCAACACCCGTATTGGCAGCTGTATCCATCGTCTTTCGCCCTCGCAAAAATTCTGGGAAACCAGACTGACTGACTGAGTGCCGATAGATCTTCCCAGCTTGTGTCGGCGACTTAATAGCTAACACACCCAATCCTGAAATCGCTGAATCTCATTTCCCCGAAGTTGCTTGCATTCACACCTATGTCGTCTCCTTCAATGTTCAGCAACAACAGCGTTTCCATTCCAGTCTCCGACGACGACGAAGACGAGCTCAGCCGGAAGCGAGTCCGAGTTCGCAGGAAGCGCAAGAAGCCGCTGAGCCACCGCGTGAAGCACGATTTGGGCAAGCGGCTCGTTAGGTTTCTCGTGAGGTACTGGGCATTACTCATCTTCCTCCCCGCCGCCGTTCTGCTCTGCTACGAGGCCACCAAAATCGGCAAGGAACCGGCCGTCGACGAGGACGATCTCGACCGCTTCGTGGCAGAGGGAACAGAGGTGGATCCGGACCTCGACCCAATCTTCAAACCGCCGCCCAAAGTTTCTCACCCCAATTTGAATCGGATGGATCCGGTTACTCGAATGATTGACGGTGTGCGTGAACGTAAGTGTTTTTAATCTGAGCTCTTCTTGTTGCTTTCCAGTTTCCAGTTTCTCAATTGCATCTCTGGAAATCTGTATCAGCTTGCTTGAAGCTCCGGCCGCCGGACGAACTTGAACTTCTGGATATCCCTAACGGCGGCGGCATTGAAAGTCCGGTTAAGAGTGTAAAATACTTGACAGAGAGAGATTTGCCGGAACAGAACGGGACTCATAGGTCGAAACGGATCAAGTTCAATTCGTTTAGTGGATACCCGAGTCTCGAAGACAGGGATGGAAGCTTTGTGGTGAACCAGACTCCTGCTGTACATTGTGGGTTCTTCAGTGAAAGTGGAGGGTTCAATATATCTGACGCTGATAAGAGTTATATGGATAGTTGCCAAGTGGTGGTTTCTACTTGTGCTTTTGGTGGTGGGGATGATCTATACCAACCAATTGGAATGTCAAATGCATCACTTCTGAAGGTCTGTGATGCTTCTTCTTTAGATTGCTTGAACTTCGTGTCTGTACTACAAAAGGGAAGCTTTTAGAGAGCTCATTGGTTTGCATATGTGCAGGTTTGCTATGTTGCTTTTTGGGATGACATTACTCTGGCTGCCCAGGAGAATGCAGGGCACACTATTGGGGATGATAAGTTTATTGGGAATTGGCGCATTGTTCTTGTGGACGATCTTCCATTTGTGGATCAACGATTAAATGGTAAAATCCCAAAGGTATTATAACAATTTTACAGTGCTGTGTTGCACGTATAATCTGTCTGATGGTTAGGTTTATACAGTTGTTTACTTCTGGCTTGTCTTGGAAGATTGGTTTCTAGCTCAGATGATGGCAAAGTGTAAATGCCATAGTTTAACGGTTCATCCCCTTTCTTCCTGGGTTTTCTTTGTATTGTGAGCTAAGCACATTTAGAAGTACTCTGATCAGGAAGGTCTGAAAATATAAATACCATAGTCATAGCACTCATTGGCAGAGAAACTGGTTGATGTGAAACCGGGAACGAAGTGGATGTCATTTTTGTCGACTAAAGTGACTTTCTCCGGTAGTAGTAGGAAGGATTGGGGTCGATTAGGTGGTGATAGTGATAACTGTAGCACAGAGATGTTGACAGTTTTTTTGTTCATTGCATTTATCCTGATTGCGGATTATGAGCCTGGTTCTTTGGATGCGAGTTATATATTTGAGAACTTTTTCAATTCAAATGGAAGTAGGAGGGAGAGGGTTGTTTTCTGATTTATATGTAATGGAGTTTATTATCTTATTGAAAGGCAGTTCAATTGCTGTTGTTTGTGGATAGTGTGTTCTTTGAACTGTGTTGGTGTTTGTTCATGTAAAATTCAGTGAATCGAAATTTTGAACTAACTCTTAATTACTTTTTACCCATTATCAGATGTTGGGACATCGGCTCTTTCCTAATGCTAAGTACTCTATATGGGTAGACTCAAAGTCTCAGTTCAGGAGGGATCCGTTGGGTGTTCTCGAAGCTCTCCTCTGGCGTACAAATTCCGTGTTAGCAATCTCAGAACATGGAGCTCGCAGCAGCGTGTATGATGAGGCTAAAGCTGTTGTCAAGAAAAACAAAGCCAGACCAGAAGAAGTCGATGTTCAAATAACTCAGTACAAGAAAGATGGTATGCCCGAAGACAAGAGATTGAATGGAAAGAAAGGTATGCAATCCTTTGTCAACACACTGCCATGTGCTTCCGTGAATTCATTTGAATAGGTCCACCTAGCTTGGGCAATGTAACCACGATTAGATTGTCGTTATGAGCTAAAATGAGGGATGCGTTCAGTTTTCCTATCTGCGATTTTGAAACATGAGCTATGTCTGTAATAACAAGTAAACTTTGTTCATTTGCAGCTCTGAATGAAGCTTCAATCATAGTGAGGGAGCACACGCCAGTGGTCAATCTGTTCATGTGCATCTGGTTCAACGAAGCAGTGCGATTCACTTCGCGAGACCAGCTGAGCTTTCCCTACGTGCTGTGGCGACTCAAAGTGCTTAAAGACATCAACATGTTCCCAGTTTGCATACGGAAAGATCTTGTTAATAGTATTGGCCATCTACGCAAGGCCAAGCCTTCGGTGAAAAGAACAATGCCTTCCACTGCTGATGACGAGGCTTGATTTTGTTATGGGCCTCTAATTCTTCTTCTTGTTGTTCAAATTTTGTTACCTATTTATACCTGAGATTATTAGCCACTGATTCTTTCATCACTGTTAAGTGTTAACCATGTATACACATTGACATAATTTATTCCCCTTTGGAGCATTCCTCGGTTCTTGGTCATGGTAATATGAAGTTGGGACTTCACCGAGCAATAATGAACTAATGATGACGAGGTGTTGTTTTGCTTGTTGGATTTGAAAAATGAAAGTTTTGATTATAATTTGAGTTTTGAAAAATCTGGTTTTCATGATAGAATTGGTGGATTTGAAATTTTTTTTGGTGGTTTGTTGGATTTGATAATAGAAGCAAACGACCCCTTATAGGCCTGGTGTTACACTGGTTTTTGAAGGAATCGAATCCTTTTTGCAGAAGGACTAGCAGAGGAGAAGAAAAGATGTTTCTTTTAGTGAGTTATTTTCAATGTTCTATAACAGAATCGGATGACCGTCCGGAAAAATTGGTAGTTGATGGTTCAATGTTTAATCATTATAGAATCATTGGCTAACCGTTGAGAAAACGTTCATGTGTTATAACATAAAATAACATAAATACTACACCAATTTATATGTGAAAATTGAAAAAAGTTATTTGCAAAGACATGATCTACTGTACGCCTAGACACGAAATTACTATTCATTTAGACTCAATTTTACTGTTCACCTTCGTTTGATTGGTCGTTGTTCTGCACCTGGTCCCGCTTGCTTTTTCTTATTGGCTGGCTATTTGGTTGTGGCCTCTGCGGTTTTGGCTGCGGTGGTTTCTCTGAGTTCCGCGTTGCTCTCAGCTGCGCCCGAATTTCCTCTTCGCTGTTTTTTTTCTTTAATTTCCTTTTATTGGGTTTCTTGGCTATTCCCCGTCAGTCTTTGTCATAATCATTGCATCTTCTGTTTTCTCTCCCCCGCCTTGCGTGTTGATGTCTGCTTTTGGGAATTTTTGGCAAATGATGGGCGCGGTTTCCTGTGCGCGCCCTCACCTGTTTGGCCCTTGGGGGGAACGAGCCTGTCTAGGACGGCCTAGCTATCTGAAGCCCGCCGCTTTTGCGTGTCCAATTTTTTTCCCGCTTTTTGTGTTCTCTCTTGCTGGCGGTTCTTCTATTTGAAGTCGTTCTTATCTCTTTGGCGGGCTGCTGTTTCGGTTTCTTTATGTTTCTATTCGCGATTGGGCCGATAACTGACACAAGCCGCCCTTGCGCTTGCTAATTCCTTCTCTCATTTATATGTTCTTTTTTTTTTGTTTAATGGCGCCGGTTCATCATTTCGCTCTAATCTCTTCCCGTCATTTACCTCTCTTCCTAACCGTTGTTTTCCCTCTCTTCAGTTCTTTTCGTCTCGGAGAAAAGGAGTTCACGTTGCTTTGCAATCTCGGCGGGCCGCGCAATGCTACCGTTTCTTTGCGTCTCCGACTGCTGCATGTATGGCCGGCGAAGTCTCCAGGGGATATCAGAATCTACAATTACTGTACTCTTTGGGCCGACGAAACGGTGCGCTCTATGTTCTTTTGCGCCGATATTTTCCAGTTTCGTTCTGTCGTTGCCACTGTACTCTGGTTTTCTTTTTTTACCATTGTGGTGTGTTTTGCGCAGGGTACTCTGATTCACGGTGTTTCGCCTCAATGGCTGCTGGGATCCGTCGTAACCTTTCCGTTGGGAAGATTTATGTTGTCAAGTCCTTTGGCTTGAGCAACCCGCTGAATCAGTATCGCCCATGTTCCTTTGATTTGGCTTTGGGTCTCTCGCTCTCGACTTCCTTTCAGGCCTGTAGTCTTCCTGCTGAGAGTTTTCCTGTTGATGCGTATGAGTTTGTGTCTTTCTCCCAGTTGAGTATGCGTGCTGGTAATCACCGTTTCTTGACAGGTCGGTGAATATTTTTGTCCTGCCTTCTTATTGATGTGCATGTGTTTATGTATATGAATGTTTTTTGTTTGTGTTTTTATGCTTTTTTCCTGTTTTATTTTCGTAGATGTCGTTGGCCGACTCCATTCTATCAGTGGGATATCGCATAAAATCACTAATAACGGCCCTGCAGTCAAGCAGACGGTTATCATCGAGGATGAAAGGTTCTCTCGCTTTTCTAGGGTTCTTGTGTCTAGCAGTATGCTTTATGTTCCTGTTGTGTCGTCCCTCACGTACCCCCGTATTTTTTCTCACAGTGGGGCGAATGTTACTATTACACTCTGGGATGAGTTTTCAGCGGTGTTGGACCATGTTGCTCTCACTCAGGCTGACTCGATTGAAGCTGTGATTCTTGCATTTGGTGGCTTGCTGGTTAATAAGTTGGGAGATGTGTTCTTTCCTCTGGAGTGCATGTATCTTTACAGGGGTTGTGCGAGGAATGTTGGTGTGTGATCATTTCTCCCCGTCTTTTGTTTTCTGTTTCAGATGACTATATTCTCTCGAGCTCAGCTGGTACACGCATAGCAGTCAACCCTCCTGTACCAAAGGCTTACTATCTTGCATCTAGGTAAGTTGGTTGTAGGCATTGCTGATTTTCTATGGCCTGTTTGGGTGTTCATTTTATGCATGCGTGATATTGTAGTTGAGTTTACACTGGTTATGTCTTACTTAGGTTTGCTGAAAAGCACGAAGTTGTTGAGTCTTTGCCAGTGGAGTTTGCTACAGCTGCTGATGCTACTGCTGACGCAGATCGGCGTACCAAGAGTTTGGATCAGTTGTTGGCCTTGTCTCGAACGAATTCCTCACTGGTTTATTACTACTCTCTTCCTGAAAAGTTTGGTGTTTGTATTTTTTCCCTTGGGAATGAATGGGTTTTCTTTGCTTTGGTAGGAAGAGAAGTATCGTTGTGATGGAGTGATTGTTGATGTCGAGTCGAGTACTCCTTGGTATTATATTTCGTGCAAGTTATGGTCGAGAGCTGTTTCAAAGCGTCGAGACAATACGTGTTGGTGTCCAAAAGATTGGCAGCTGGAGGAAGAGCAAACTCGAGTCAAGTATGACTGCGTATTGTTAGCGCAGATCTCCTATCTGTTTTCAGTTTTTTTGCTAACGTTTTTTTTTACTCAGTTATAAGCTCCAACTTACGTTGAGGGATGACACTTGCGAGGCTCGGTTCATACTGATGGGTGGTTGTGCCCATGCGTTAGTTAATGTTTCCGCTGCACATTTGGCCCAGAGGTTTCCTCATCGTCCTGGTCAGCTGCCCCCGCAGTTGCATCAATTGCGAGGGCAATATGTGAAGTTTGATTGTAAGTTACCATTGCCTGGCCCTACTAGCTTCTCTTTAGGCGAGTTCCGTGTAACTCAGGTTGTCCCGCTTGATGACCCTACGGTGGTTGGCAATTTGCTCGAATTCTCTTCGCAATCTCCATTATCCAGTCCTGCTACTGCTGTTCCGTCTTTGACCATGGGTGCAGCGAGCGTCGCGGGTGGTTCTTCGACTTCATCGAGGTTGGTGTTGGCTGTTTTGTTGTTCTGTTTATGTTCTTCGATCTGTTGGCTACGCCTTATAAACTATATGTTTATGTTCTCAAGGGTTGCGAAGGGAAAGGAAAAGGTTTCAGGTCCTCTGCTCACCATGGTATCAGCAGCCCCGTTTAGTATCACTGAAGGGGCAGATGAGGCTGTCAGGTATTTGCATCTCTAACAATACTTATTCTGTTCATTAATGGAATTATTGGAGAATGTGTCCTGAATTATTTGCCTTTTTTTGTAGTACGATATTTGAGGATTTGTATATTCCTCCTCATACAAATGTCGAAAGCGAAGGTACTGTTGCTGGCCCCCAGATTCTCGGGGGATCTCATTTTTTGGGGATTAGTGCACAGATTGTCTCTAATCCAGCTGCTGCTGCTGTACCCGTTCCTTCTTCAGCCCAGTCCTGTACACCATCTGCTAGATTTATTCCTTCGATGATTACCAAGCGTACATCCAGAATCGATGAGTCCGCCAGCCCTGAGGATGTTAGTCGTGGTTCGTTGACATCTGCTGCAAAGATTCTGAAGCCATCCCCTGAGTCGTCTCCTGGGAAAACCTCTGGTTTAGCCGCTGGCTCTTCGCTTGCATCATTGTAGGTGTTTATAAGTTAGTTAAGTATTTTTCATATTTTTTGTATTCCCCCCCCCCCCCCCCCCCCCCCCCCCCCCCCCCCGCCCAATATTCATTGCTAAGAGGTATGTTTGGTTCAAGATTGGTTTCTCCACTCGCCAAGGTTAAGGTGGAGAAGTCAGACGATGTTGAGGCTCCTCCTCTGCCACAAGGCGGTTCCTCACAGGCAGGTGCTGAGATGGAGGGGGGTTCTCCAGTGGACAGTCAAAAGAACCCAACTGCGAAACGTGCTTTGTTTAAAAGGTGATGACAACATCAAGGTATTTTCTTATTTTCTTAGTTTGTTTCGATTTTCTCCCGTGTTTCATTTGCGATTAAGTTGCTGCGGCTGATATGTATCTTATTTCTTCGCTCTTTATTTTCTTGCAGGAAGTAGGAATGTTGTGGACTGAAGTTTTCATGCATGGGTCCAATCCTTCTCTGCATGGTTGATGATGTTCCCATAAATGCTGGTGTCTGACCTTCAAGGAGATGACATATTTTATTTTGTTTACGCAAGTTGTTCTCCTTGTTTAGACAATCATATTTTGGATATTTTGGTTTCGGGAATGCAACGCTTGTAGTTACATGATATTCTCATTTTGGATTCTGGGTTTCGAGAATGTAATGGTTGCATCTGTGTGGATATTATCAGGAGATACAATGCTTCTGTATCTATGGTTTAAATAGCCTTCTATCTTTTGTTGGATAACTAGCAGCTAATTTGTTAGCCCATACGTTGTTGATGTTTATACTATGCTTTTGTGCATTCTGATTTTCCTAAAGCTATTGCCTAGCAATGATTGCCTTCATCAAATGCTGTTTGATCCTAAAATATTAACGAGGTCGTGTTTTTGTTTTCCATAGCGTTTGGTTATTCTTCCCTTAGAACACCTCCACTGTTGACGGAAGGATGGAGGGGGGCTTATCTTAATATCTCTTAGGCAGTTCGAATAGAGACATTGTTATTTTTGGGGAGCCTATAGACTGTATCCAGAACTGTTAAATTGCAATTGGACCGATTTATAATACGATTTATAAGAGGACCTCTTTCTTATCATTCTTGGACCTCTTGATATTTCTTACTTAGTATAATGCAGCCTCTTTTTGATCGAAAGATTAAACTAATCTGATTGCTTTTCATCATTTTATTAATCCAACAATATGTTAGATATTTTCACATTATAAGGATATTATAAGGATAATACTTAGCTCACATATCCATGATAGCTATTTGATATTAATATACATCTTCTCTCTCAATGGGGTTATGTAACTTTCCCCAGGAACTTCCTTTACTTCACCATGTATTTCATCTGTCATATGTTCACTTAAAATTTTCGTTTGGAGGACTAAATAGGACAAAGGTAAGCTGGGTTTTCATCTGACATCTTCATTGATGAGTCTGATGAATGAGTGAGAATGATTTCTATGATCTTCCTCTAATTCTTCCTCACTATAAGCATTGGATTCAATACATTACTGTCTCGGCTATACTATTCGAACATCCCAACAGCAAATGATTCTGATCATGTTTGGTTTCTGGCTTTTGTCTGTAGCAATGCCTCCGAAGAAAAGAAAGGCTCAGTATCAGACTCTAACACGTAAAATAGCCAGAATTGAATTTATGCAACATTCATTGCAAGGTTCAGTAGTTCCTGAGATATCGTTTGGGGACGTCGATTCTGTGTCTAAGAATGATACGCAGGAATCATCACGGTGTCTTCGTCGAGTACTACCATCTTCATCAGGTGATGGGTGTACTGTCATTGTATTACTGTTATTTGAATTATAAGATTATCATGAAGGCATCAAGTATAATCAGTCTTCGATTATATAAAAGCCTTATTGTAATGTTCTCTTATGTATGTTTTGCACTTACCAGAATCTTCAAGGGCAAGGAAATTGCGCTACCAGACTTTGAAACAGTTGGGCTCCAAGAATACAACGACCCATATTTCTTCTCTTGAACAAGGGGAATCCTATGTGGTATCTGAATGAAACGGAAATAATGATCAAGCGAAGCAAGCTGAACAGAGGAAAACTGGTAGTTGCCGGTTGCAGAACTCATCTGGAACCCCATCCTGTTCTAGGTCCATTCCCACGGCTAAAAAGCCACTCCATGATGATATACTGAACATAGGTCAACCAAAATGTGTCTGTAAGTTCTGTGGTGCTTTGTTTTGGGATTTGGAGAGGCTTGATCGCCGCCGAGCAACAACTGATCCTATCTATGGACTCTGCTGTCAGAAAGGCCGTGTTGGTTTGCCATATATAGCTCAACCTCCGCGTTTGTTGGCTGAGCTTCTGCAGTTTGATGGTGGCGCTACGTCTAAGCATTTCAGGGATAACATTAGACCATATAACGGTTCATTGTGTTTTACATCATTTGGTGCTTCCATTGACCCTCGCTCTCTTTCTGGTAGGGGGCCATATTCGATGGTTATTTGTGGAGAAAACTATCATATGATTGGTTCATTGTTGCCTCCTGATGGCGAAAAGCCAAAGTTTGCTCAGCTTTATATTTTTGAACCGGAGAATGAAATCGACAATCGCTTGGCAAACTTTGCATCCCGTGATGGTCTACTTATGCCAGAGCTGCTCACTTCATTGCTCCAAATGCTGGATCAACATAATCAGCTCGTCAAAACCTTTAGGCGAGTTCGGCAGCAGCTTCAGGATTCTTCAACAACGAATTTAAAGCTAAGAATATTTGGAGCCAAGAGTAGGAATCGGCAATATGATTTGCCAAGCAGTACTGAGGTTGCAGCGCTTATACCAGGTGATTTCGTACCAGACAGAGATGATCACGATATAATAGTTGATCATGTCTATGAGGGTTTGAAGAGGATTACGAGTCTCAATCCAAAATTTGATGCGTTACATTTCCCACTTCTATTTCCATATGGAGAGGACGGTTACCATCCACTCATCAAATACAGGTCTGCTTTCTGCCCGCCATCTATGCGCAGACAATTTGTTACTCAACGTGAGTACTATGCATTCAGGCTTCAATATCGCAATGGCAAAGGTCCAACGATTATTCAGGCTGGAAAAGCTCTTCAGCATTTTTGTATTGACGCTTACTCATCGATAGAACTAAACAGGTTGGCTTTTTTGCGCTATCATCAGCCACAGCTTAGAGCCGAGGTTTATCAAGGACTACAGGATGCGATGTGGCGGAGTGATCTTGACGGGGATAAAATGGGTCATATTGTACTCCCGGGCACCTATGTAGGTAGCCCGCGATATATGCAACAATTATATCATGATGCTATGGCAGTGGTCGAATTCTTTGGAAATCCTGATTTATTCATTACATTCACCTGTAATTCGTTGTGGGAAGAAATCACCGAGGCCTTTCGTGATGTTGTTGGTCCAAATAGCTCAGATAAACCAATGGTGGTTTCAAGGGTCTTCCACACTAAGCTAAGCATTCTCTTAGATGACATTAAGAGAAACTCCTACTTTGGAAAGACTATTGCAAGTATGGGTTGTTCGTTTAATATCAATGACAAGTTCCGCCAGTTCAATGCTTTCTAAAATGTACATTTGGATATTCGCAATTTTAACTTACTTTACTTTGTTACAGTTATGTATACAGTGGAGTTTCAGAAAAAGAGTCTGCCCCATATACATCTGCTGGTTTGGTTGTCTGAAGAGAATAAATTGAGGACGCCGGCTGACATTGATGAGGTAATCTCAGCCGAAATTCCAGACCCTCAACAGGATCCGGTTGGATATGAAGCTGTCTGTAAATTCATGTTGCATGGCCCATGCGGTGAAGCAAATACAAATGCACCGTATATGCGAGACAAGAAAAAACGCGCGAATGACAAATGTTCCAAACAATTCCCAAAGGGCTTCAACTCAGCCACTACATTTGACAAGTTTGGAAATGTAGTCTATAGAAGATTAAACAATGGCGTCGAGGTTCAAAAGGGAAGTACAGTACTTGACAATCGACATGTTGTTCCATACAACAGGAATTTGTTGGTCAGAATGCAGGCTCATATAAATGTTGAGGTATGTCACAAAGGTAAACTTATTAAGTATCTCTTTAAATATGTGACAAAAGGGCCAGACAGATCATTGGTTATTGCTGAAAACGCTGATGCATCGCAAAATAATCCAGAATTGCAATCTCGGAGGCACAAAGATGAAATCCAACAGTACATAGACTGCCGATCGTTGTCAGCTTATGAAGCCATATGGAGGCTTAATGAGTATCCAATTCATGTAAGAGAACCATCAGTGGTGCGTTTTGGAGTTCACTTAGATGGTCAGCAAAAAGTACCTTATAAGAAACAGTCCAACGTACGAAATGTTTTGGGGAATCCTAATGTCGGAAAGACACATTTGACAGAATGGTTTGCTCTTAATCGCAGGGATCCGCAGGCAAGAGTCTTGACGTATGCACAGATACCAAATATTTACACCTGGATTCCTGATTGCAAAGAGTGGAGCCCTCGCAAAAAAGGATTTGCGATAGGGAGGGTTGCATATGTTCCACCAGGTTCTGGCGACGTATTTTTCCTCCGAATGGTGCTCACAAAATTCCGTGGCGCTCTCAGCTATGCTCATCTCAGAATTGTGAATGGAGAACTTTGTCCAGATTTTGAAAAAGCTTGTGAAAAATTGGGTCTGTTATCAGATACTTCAGAATGGATACGTGTTCTATCCGATATTTCAACTTCCAGCATGCCACGGGTGATACGGAGCACTTTCGTGTCAATGCTCATGTTCTGCGAAATTCCAAGTCCACCAGATTTATTCAATTCATCATGGAAATCAATGGCTGAAGATTACGCGTACAGGTTAACCAAAGATCTCAGAGACCAATCTCAGAAGCCCACTGATGAACGACTACAAAAATGGGTATTACATGAATTGCAGGCTATGTTGAGTTCTCATTCAATGACACTTAAGGACTTTAATCTCCCAACCCCATCTGATGGTTCGCTTGATGATGGAGAAAACCCACTCATTAACGAGCATCTGGCCTTCGATACAGACCAGCAACGTGCACTAGCAACCTCTATGTTACATTCATTGAATCCTGAGCAAACTAATTTATATACATCTGTCATTAGTTCAGTCCTCAACAAGATGGGTCGGGCATTCTTCCTATATGGTCATGGAGGTACTGGCAAAACGTACCTTTATAATGTCATTACAGCAAGACTCAGGAGTTTGGGGAAGATAGTTGTACTGGTTGCATCATCGGGAATAACAACAACACTACTTCCCAAAGCAACCACTGCACACTCAAGGTTCAAAATTCCTCTGATTCTGGATGCAACATCGACGTGCCCTATTAAACACGGAACAGATTTAGCTGACCTGTTAAAAGAAGCATCCTTAATCATTTGAGACGAAGCACCAATGACCCATCGGCAGGCTTTCGAGGCAGTAGATCGCAGCTTGTGCGACATATTAAATGTTCCACTGAATGGACAACACTATAAACCTTTTGGAGGGAAGACAGTTCTCTTCGGTGGGGATTTTCGCCAAACACTCCCAGTTATAACTGATGCTGGACGTGAACAAACGATTGATGGCTCATTAACTAGGTCCAAGTTATGGAATACTTTTAAAGTTATGTGCCTATCGACAAACATGCGCATAACAGCGGTCCACTCTGCTGACCAGCAACTAATGCATGGATATACTTTTCCAGATTGGGTCCTCGCCTTAGGAGATGGAAGACTCAGAGCAAGGTCGTTCAGAGAAGATGGGCCACCTGATTGGATACAAATTCCACCACTGTTCCTAATTGATCCCGGTGATGACTCTGTTCGGTCGATCGCAGATGATATATATGATTTGTTTCCTGACAATCACAGGGATCCAGCATACCTGACCAGTAGAGCAATAGTGACGCCAACGAATGCGACAGTCTCTAGAATTAATGACTATATGCTGCAAAAGGTACCAGGCAATACAAAAACATATTATAGTTCAGATTCATTGCAGTTATCAACAGAAACAGCGGATTCGTTTGACGAAAGCTATCCAACAGAGTTCCTCAACACTCTCACGTTCAATGGAGTTCCAGACCACGAGCTTACATTAAAGGTATGCACACCAGTCATGCTTCTGCGTAACTTAAACCCTGCCCTTGGTTTATGCAACGGCACAAGGATCATGATCATAACATTAGGGGATAATTTTATAAAAGGCAACATCATGGGCGGTTCTTATGACACTGACGAAGTCATTATACCAAGAATAGTGCTCAATATAGAGAACTCCAAGTGGCCCTTCATACTCAGGAGGAGGCAGTTCCCAGTACGCTTATGTTACGCAATGACTATAAACAAGAGCCAAGGGCAAACACTTGAAAAAGTTGGGATTTATTTGCCTGAACCCGTATTCAGCCACGACCAGCTATATGTGGGGGTTTCAAGAGTAAAATCAGAGAGAGGTTTGAGGATTCTTATACAAAACCCAGCAGAAATACCTTACGATTTTACAAGAAACATAGTCTTCACTGAAGCCTTTGCTGATATTATGAACACCTGAACCATATATCAGGTGAGTCCGTTAAATTAAACAAGCTATTCGATACTTCTGCCAGCAAATTTCCCTAACAAAAACTATGTGTTTTGTAGGATTGCAGTAATACCCTAATGCAACCATGTCAATCCAAAGAGGTCAATGCCATGTCTCAAATACAACCCCTTTTGCTAGGATTACAGCAATACCCTGATGCAACCATGTCAATCCAAATAGTAAATAAATGTATTTGGCTCTGTTTTTGGGAATTAATTTTCCAGGGTTGCATAAATAGTTTGCTTTAAGTCAAGAAATATCATCGGCTGAATAATGGATCAAATAGTTTGTTAACTCTCAAAAATTGCAAACATTTCAGGCCCATTAAAATATTTGAGTCTATACTAATACATTGGATTTACTATGGCCCAAGTGGCTTCGGGCTTAAACGCTTACCAAAACTGAGGACCCGTTT